ACGGATGACTATCGACAGTGATGCACGAAACGTTTGCTCGCTTGCTCAGCTTGCCACGATGTACGTGTGATTTAGATTTCAGAATTATGGCTTCGTTCCTTCTACTCGTTTATTCGATTAGCTACAAGCTCTAGGATAAATATTCGCATTTAATTTAAGACGCTATCTGTTATAGAAATAACTATAGACAATACGATTTTATAGTTTACATCTTATTTCAACTGAAATTAATTTCTCGATATAGGGACACCAAGAATTCAGGTAGGAGGATGGAAACAATGAATCTTCGATCAAATTCGCATCATATTAGCTACAAGCTCTAGGATAAATATTCGCAATTAATTCAAGACACTATCTGCCATAAAAATAACTATAGATAACATGGTTTCATAGTCTACACCTCGTTTAGATTAAAAGTAGTTCCTCGATATAGGGGTACCAAGAATGCAGATAGGAGAATGAAAACAATATTTCTTCGTGTAAATTTGAATCAACCCTTCTTCCACTCTCCACAAAAACAAAATTTCCATACATATTCAAACACTATTATCCATCCGAACATAGTCCTGAACTAAAGCTTTCACGAGGACCATCCTGGCACCCTCTTCCATCATCATCCACTCTGCAAGCGCACACTTGATCTCCCTTACCCCCTTCAGTTCTCAATATCAAGAATTCAGGTAGAAAGATGAAAACAATGAATTAAATTCTAATTTATTATTCTTACATTTTCCACATAAAAATCACATGCACGTTCAAATATCGCTACCCAGATGAACATAGATGAACACATTAAAAGTTTCACGTGGAACATGCTGGTCCCATCTTCCACCTCTTACCTTACCCTCTTTCATCAGCATCCACGCTGCAACTGCGCGTCTGTTCAGCTTTCGATCCGCTCGATTCCGCATAAATATCAGGCAGTACGCAATAGCAATCGCAGTCACCCCATTCGCGTTATCAATAGGCACAGAATCGTGTGTCACGATACCGTAAGTGGCATACTTGCAATAAAGCACGAAACTGGCTGCCATGGTGTTGCGGCGCAGCCGACGTTTCTAGCGTCGGAACGTTAAAAGCCGGCACGATAATGGAAACACCGGACGTTGATGTATCTTAATAAGATAACGCCGTTTATGCGCGTTATTTATTGCCGATTAATCGGCGTATTGCATGGAAACGAAGAGGCGTGTGCACCATTTAAGGCGTTCCCCTCGGGGCGGCATGGCTTGAAGAGGTCCGCCGCGTCGCGTCCAAGTCACGTCGTCCCGCGCGTCGTCGCGATATATCAGCCGATCAAGGAAGCCCAGAGACGTTTCGCTTCGCAATTTACCAGCGGCGTCGTATTTTTCTCCGCGTCCTTATCGAGACGTGTCTCACCGTGTCACGGTCGCCTTGACATCGGCCCGCCGCTGTTATCTCCGATGTATCTCTCCGCTGCTACTTGACCTCCCCGTATTTTCAGCTTTCCGATCCGATATCAAATCTTCCACCCCTCGGGAAGGACGGAAGGTGTCCACCTTCTGCTATCCATTGCATTCACCCTTCTTCTTCGTCCCACTCTCCTTTTCCTTTCTTCCTTTCTTCTCCCACGTCCCTCGTTCTTCTGTGATTTTAGGACAGACGTCGTTCGCGATTGTTCTTCGCTGGAGAGCGTGCAGCTCTCGAGAGGAGAAGATGGCAGGTTTAGGATCAAAGGTTTTTACGACCTCTCGAGAAATTGAATTTGCCAAGGGATGCTGGCTTTCCACTGTGGTTTATGGCTTCGCAATTTTGGTGTTTTCGATTAAAGCCGAGGGACTAGTGGTCTCTCCGAGACTTTATTTATGGGGGGTCTTTAAGTTTCATTTGTATTTTCGCTGGTGTTTCGATCGTTGGAATGTCGAGTAATTTCGCGTTGTGCTTTCAAAGGCGTTTAAATTGTTGAAGGATTAAGTCACTGTACATTGGGAAGTTTTTCGATGATGCTGATATCAATATTCATGAGAGACATTTAGCTCAAGAAACGCAGAAATGTCATGGATGTTTCAAAATTATCGCGGCGTAATTTTCCACGCACTATTACACATGCACGCGCTAGTGCACGCGAATTTTTCTTCTCGCTGCTCCAATTCCATCAACAATCGTTTCCAGTTAATCATTGCGTGCTTTACACACGACTAGACACGAAATTGCACACGATAGACGATCCTCCATTAACCCCCGCAGCTGCCATTTTGTTAATTTAATAACTTAGCAATTTCCAAATTGACACAGAATTCAGATCTCAGAACACAGGACCAACAAATAGTAACTAATAATTGGTTTATTCCTCTCGTGCCCTTAATATCGCAGCTTCATACGTATCAATTTATCCCTGGACCTCGACATTCCCGATTTCTTTCGTTCCATTTTGTTCCACGCTCGAAACACGATAGTCATAAAAATTCCAATTTCACCTGTTCCACGCGTCACCCAACTATTCCCCGTTTTGCTGGATGATCAGCCGAGATTTTCACTCCGCATCCCTTATCTCCGCTTTCATTTCCAGCCAACCATGCTTCACACATCGACACTCCCGTAGTTCTCTGACTCGACCTGTCATTGGCAACGTTCAGCTCCCTTATCTCGCGCACGGATGCATGTTAATTTATATCCTTGCCTGGGACGTTGGCGCGTTTTTCAAATTTTCCCACTGCTCGCCGTTTCCACGCTGGCCCCTCGACTGTTACGGACACGCGATATATCTTAAGCTCGCGTAGGCAGTGGGTAGCCACAAAAGCTCCCGATCCAAGCTGTCCTCCGCATCGCCTCGGTTCTTTATGGCCGGCCCTTTTCCTGGCCTGAAAGACCGAACTCGTTACGCGAGGCCACGTAACGAAACGCAGCCGCTCTTTCATCGCCGTCGACCACTATTTGTCAAGTTCTCCTCGTTGCAAAGGCCATTAACGTACCTCCTTTTCCTTTCGCAACGCCGACCCTTTGTTCTTATCTACTTGACTATAACAGTCACGAGTATCTAGTCGTGGTCAGCCGGCCCGCATTATTAATTCCTATCGACTGGCAACTCTCTTGCCGTCCATGGCTGGCCACTTTCAGCTTTTCAGTCGCGAAACGTGTTCCCTTGCGCCACGCCGGTGACGATTAGCCGCGTTGGTCATGGCTTTTTCACGGTTCGACCGAAAGACCGGTCACGGATGGTCGAAAGGTTGAACGACGCCATTTTTTCCTGCCGTTTGTTCTTTTCTTCAAGACCCTGTGACAGCGTGTGACTCGGGGGTTAGGTGTTTACGTATCTCTATTTCTGAATTTTTAATTTTCCCTTGGTCACACGGTTTTAATTTTAGGCAAAATTATTTTTATCGCGAAGACACCGTTGATTTTGCCAAGTTTATGCAGATTCTAGAATATTAGCTTTTTTGGAATTTTAATACTCGCTTGTTTTAAGTTGATCATAGAAAAATTTGAAAATTTTTGACCGATTTTTGCAAAATTTATTGCATTATGTAGTAAAAGTAAGTATATTATTGAACAGCCTGGTCCTGTTTAATAAATACCATTTATTGGTATCCAGTTTTCAGATTGCTATGAGGAACCCTGGTCAATTACAGTTCTTTAAAAAATTTCATAGTCAGTCAATCGTCAGTAAATGTAGAGACGAAGGGAAATTTAACAGAATCTCGTTCGAGAATAAATTTTCGACGCGTTTATAAAATTATAGCGATTAAACAGCGAATGTATTAAAATGTCTGGGTCAGCGAGGAAGTAGGATAGGGGTGAAAATTGCCATAGTTTGCGTAGTGTTAATAGCGCTTTAGCGTTCCAGTGATTATTTCAACGACTTCGGGGTTGTTTTTTTTTTTTAGCAGCCGCAAACAACGCGTTCGTTTGCTTCGATAAATTACCTTTTTCATCGCGTATTCCGTTTGTGCCGTTCGACCGTGGAACGAAGTTTCACGTTTTTCCCGTTCGCAATTGAGTTTTTGCGGGTCAGTAAATCGATCTAGTTTTTTCCTCGTGAATTACCGGCTGCGTTTGTTTCGGTTTTTTAAGGATCGATACTTGTTGCAGGCAGAGTTGTAGTTTTCCTCCACGAAGAGGTGGTTTGTTTGTTCTTCGCGAAGTTTGCTCGCGAGCTTGTTCTTCACCTGTGTCGACGTCGTCTTCGGTCGTGCCGAGCTCTTCCTCAGGAATTAACGAGCATTTAAAAGTTACCTCCTTTTAATCGCGTTGAAACTGTTCTTTAATAGTCAACGGGAACTTGCGCGTTTTGTACTACTATATTGTATAATTTCTTTTGAAAAATTTCCATGTCGTCGTTTACACAGTAGCACGTACGAAAATAACGAGGCGAGAGGGATTATAATAACACGTATTTACGTGAAAATTTATTTAAATTATTACTCGTCGAGAGGTACATCAGACGTCCAATTTTATTTTTCAGGAGCTTGAAATTTTAATCAAAGGCTAATTGTATAGTATCCTCGGTTCTTAGTTTATTTCTAAACGCTGTTAAATCTTCGTTAAATCCTATGCAAAATGTATAGCGGAGATATTAATTAGGGTTTTAAAATCGACAAAAGGACGCAATAAATAAAGAAACGAACCTTTAATTTAAATTTTCAATTTACAAGTTTTCTTTATTTTTATTATAACTTGTTTCAATGCTAACCCCATTGAGAATTTTTGTACTTCCCGTGTTAGATGTTTGTTGTTTCTCTTTAAATTTATGGGTGAGCAATTTTTATTTCCACCACAAGTTCCATTCAATTCAACCTACATTCACCTAAACACAATAAACGCGACCACCTTTCGCGATAAATCGTTATTCACCACCGAATCTCAATAAACTTTTGAAACACATTGTAACGGATGTCGATGAAACCGAGAACAACACCGGGCTAATAAATATTTTACGTGACGCTATTCATAGGTGATAAGTTACTTCCCGAACACCCGGTGTACACGGCCAAATTCGTTTCCCTGTAATCTCTCTAACGCAAACACGCATTTCTGTGCAGGTTCAACTACCGTTCAGAGTAAGTCACCGTTCACGGCCATTCTATGTTTCGGCCAGTCGATCGACCCCTAAGTTTCAGGCAGCGCGCCAGCGACTGGATCTATAAGGTCAGTCTTAACGGTAAAAACGCGCGGCGGCTGGCTAATGCGGAATTCTCCGTGGCGGTGGTCTTTGCCAAATGGGTCAGCCGTGTGTACGTGTGTACGTGTGGTCGAGGAGAGAAAAGGGAACGCGAGGAAAACGCGGCAAAAGTCCGCGAGAACGGCCATGCTCGCGCCATTCGGGGAGCCATAAAAGTCTGGACGCGGCCTACTACCCCGATCTATACCGGTCTCTAAACGAATTATCGCGGATTTAGCGGTGGACAGCCTTGAAAAAGCACGACGGTCACGGAATCGATCTTCCCCACTCGCGGTCCTCCTCTCTCCCTTGCTCTCTCCCTTTCTCCTAACCTCACTCTCCCTGCGACATTTCTCCTCTTTTCTTTTCACCCCGAGGTTAGGAAGCTGTATCTAAGAGAACGCGGGGATGGTCAGGGTGAAGGGAACAAAGCGTGTTAACCTTTATCCCCCTCGTCTCAATTGGCAAAGTCAATTGGAGGGAATACGCGATTCAGACTGGAAATGCCACTTGAGAATCGGCCCTGTCTCACGTTTAAACAAAATTTATAGGCTGCAAGGTGTTTTTATTCCTCTTATGACGTTGATCGATCGCACGAGCTTCGGTTTACGAATATATTTCGCTTGTTCCAGCGAGCAGGAATTTTTTTATCATTTTCAGAATATCTGATTGCAGTCGTCCTCGAAGCAATCCTCTAATTTCTCATATTAATGATCGCGTGTATATTTTATTTTCCGTATTTCGATATTGCTCGATAAGGTGGTTTTCAGAGTCCATTTTTATCTCGGTCTATATTTTCCTTCTAACTCCGCGAAGTATCAAAGAGAGGAACGAAAATAATAAAAAAGGCAGCTGTTCCACTTCGTTAATGTTAAAAAGCTTCCCGTCTGTTGTAAAAAGGGGCAAGAAGAAACAGCCGTATCGAAGTTACCATTAACAATCAGACTGTGATCACTGCTTCCTTCTTTCTGTTTTTCATCCGCGGGTGCAGCAAGGCGAACCAGTTGATTGAAATTCAGTGAAATTTCCTAGGCTGTCTCGGCGGAGTCCGCTAGGAAGGCAGGGACGTTTTGTGCTGGTCCCCTCTCGGCTGCTGCAATTTATTCGCTAATTGCCGTGCAGCCTGCTGGTGCACTGGCGATTTGATTAACGAAAAATTGCCAGCCTTCAACGGCAAATGTTTCCCATAGCATTCGGCTAGCCGGCTGCGCTCGGTTCGTTATCGCTCGAATAAACCCGCGACTTCAATTAACGCCGTTCACGCCCACGCGCTCGACCCGAATCCTGCTTCTTAATTGGCAAATGATTTTTCGCCGCGGAGAACGCCGGCTGCAAGGTATACCGTAATTCCACGCCTTCCGCAAGGATTTTCCACCGATCACGTCCGGTGGCAGAAAATTGGAAAAGTCTGACGGAGTTAATGAAGTGGACCCGGCGAGATCGATGCCGATTGCCGCCGTGAAAGAATTGCACTTTTCCGAATCGATATGCAGATTGGAAACGCGCGTAGGTGGAAAATCTTTACCCTTTTCACTTTTCCATTCGCGTTGCTTTGAGAATCATAGGTGGAAAGTTTGAAAAAGATACTGTTGATGTTGTTGAGATAGAATGCTGACCTATATCTGGTCATTCATCTGGGTAGGTAACTAATATCAACCCTTTCACGAGTACGAGTACGAACAATTCGTGTCAGTCATATTAGGTGGCAAAAAGAAAATTCCAAGATCATATGAGTAAAATTAGAAAATAATTCAGCGATATATACAGTATTACGTTAGGTTATTGGAGTTATAGACCGTGGTGGCGCTAGTGAGTTAAACGTAAAATGGTCATAGTCTCTACAGGGATACTGGCACATATGTATGTCTTATCATAAGTGAAAAGCAAGAACCCCTTCATAATAAAAACAAAAACCTCGATGCATTGCTTTGAAATCATTGCAATGTTAACTTAAAATGTGTTCTTCCCTGAAGAGGTTAAGGCCGTCTTACTCGTGAAAGGGTTGATATCCGATGTACATGCATCAATGCCAAATGAAGAACTTACATTGTCGAGCTAACGAACAAAATTTCTATTGTTTCCAGATGCTTTTTCTTTGGTCAAGGGAGCCAGCCCCGGGTCCAAGAGCCGGTCCCTGGTTTGCATGGTTCGCCACAGCCCTGGTTCTTTGGCGTTGTCGACGTAGCGTCGCCAAGGCGATCCTGGCCGTGTCACCGTTGAGATTACTGAAGAAACGTAACCTCCTGCCTCTGAACACATCGAAAGCCTCGTCCACGGCGACTCTCGTGAAGCTACATCACCGGCAGAGACCTGAAGCAGCGCTAGTGCAACGGAAACACAGGCACTCGGGGATCAGAACGAAAGTGAAACGACTGTGTACCGGTGACGGACCGCATGTGACCAGCTCGACGTTCGCGATACAAAGTCAACAAATTCATTACAAAGTGACCAGAAGCGGCAAAATATACGGGAAATATCCGAACAAGGTCGCCACGCCGGTGACCAGCGGCCGGGGAAACCATTGAAGCGTGACCATTCCATTTTCTCCGATTGTTTAACACCGATAGCTCTCGCTTTTGTGCGGCCGTGGCCGTCCACGCGTTCATCGCGGTCGTTCCTCGTGTGAACATGCGTCAGCTCGAAAAACACGTGTGCTTGTACGAAACCTATTCTGCGTTTGTCGCCATAAAGTTATTTCGTCCAATGGACACTCTTGCGTTTTCCTTCGGCATCGATTTCGATGCAGCGAGGCGGCGCTGTTGAAATTCTTCCGGTTCCACATCGTTGGTTTTCAATCATTTTTCACGCCCTGAGAAATGAAATCGCCGAGCTGAGAAACGTTGGGAAATATTCTGGAGAAGGACGGAAAGGACGTGGAAAGTCACTTTGGAACGATGCGAAGCGAGACGAGGAATTTCGTGGAAATTAAAACGAGGTTGGCTCTCGATTTACGTGCTATGGTGGTTTCTTCTACGAGCGAACTTTTTGAGTCGCTGGATTAAAAGTCTCGCGTGGAGTTTGGCTGCAAGACAAAGGTGCGCTTCATTGGTGTGAAGGAATAAACGAGAAGTAGGTCGGAAACGAGTGAATTTTGTGGCAAGGTGAAATTCGATGAAGGTATGACTCGAATTACGTTTTTACGTATTAATTACAGCGATTTAATTATTCGTACATTGGTCTAGGTGCATGCACTTGGTATACGAAATAATGCGCTTTCATCATCATAGAAAAATCCGAAAAATTCCTAGGAAAATAATATTCGGAATTATTCCAGAAAAATATTATTCTCGCCAACTGATTCGAGAATAGAAAGGAAATTCTTAAATTAAATCGAAGGTTTCTATAAATTCTAGATTTGTGATTAAAAAGTTGGGATTCTCGATGCGCAAAGTCTATTTCATCGACATTCCTTTTAATTAAAATTTCAACGCCTATCGTTGATCACGAGACCACAGTGCGTTCCTTTTGAGCCACATCAAAGGACTTAAGCAAGGGGCGCGACTATTAGTCTTCTTGCTTCTTCCTGATGTCCTCGGCACACTTTCGAGTGTCGAGGTCGTTTGACAGAGACCTTCGCCGGGGTCACCATTGTATCCAAGATCCACGACGACCGCGAGCGTCGTTTCGGACTCATGGTCCCTCTTCTCTCCGCGAGCGGAGGAGTAGATCAATAAGCGTTCGGTGCGTTTCGACGGCTTAGGATATCCCTCATATCTCGCGATATGGTTTGCATCTTGCGCAACCGTTCGTTGACTGACCGTTTTAGGTCGCCCTGACTCTATAGAGACTCTCTACTTGCGCGGTGTAGGCAATATAGAGTTCACTCTGAGCGCCAATTTTCAATGGTATACCTTTATCCGAATAAAATTTCATCTATGGCGAATCGAAGAAGGTTACTGTGGAATCACGAGTGTTGACAGAACGTTAAATATCTATCAGAAGAAGCAACATTTGCACCGAATTCAATAAACGTTGGAGTCGAAGTTCAGTATGTCTGCCCAGTGGTGGTTTTACTACTGACATTTAGGTGGGTCATTAAAAACAGAACATCGTGTAATAAAATCTTGGAATTTTAGAACAAATATACGAATTGTAGAATCTAGAGTCCCAGGAAATTGAATTCAAGTATTAACATTAGAATTGGTATACTGACACGAAGATTTATTTTCCAGCCCAATTATCAGGCCAAATGATCACGTACTCTACGAAATGCTGCGAAAGGAAGCAACTTGGAAGACACGCTTACAGGAAATGAAACCGAAGGTCCACCTGTTCCTGAAACGAGCAAGATACGTACATCTGCGATGGGCAATAGCCTTCTTGGACTGATCAGATTCGCGCGTAAAAGTTGGCTGTAAATCGTCTCGCCTCGTTGTATCGTCGCACGTGAGTTTGCCGCACAGAGTCCAGGGCGCAACAATGAAACGGCCGCGCAAGTTTCTAATCAGAGATGTACCAATTTGAGAGGCACAATGGCCGCCCGGTTTCAGAATGAGCGAGCGTATCGCGTGCGTCGCGCCGTCCGTTTCAGAATGAAGCGTAACTGTGCCAAATTTAATGATTCAATGCCCTGTTGCGTCAGCTAGCAAAACGTCGCCCGGCTGATCCAACCCCTGCTGACTTTCGGGGGATTCCCGAGGAACCAGGGCCCTTAACCACGTTCCCGATCGACGGAGATGGAATTATAAATAGAAGCCGTGTCTGAGGGTAGACAATAGCGCCATCCGCAGAGTGCACGTATATAGAGGCTGCTACAAAAATAGAACGATAACACGAATTTAAAGCGTTCCATTCCACGGTGCAGATGCACCTATCGCGTCATCCTCAGGTGCTTCGCGTCTTCTATGGGTCCTTTCGCGGGTTATGGACATGTCTCTCGACTTAATAGGTATAGGGTTACTATCTTCAGTGTACGTACTCGGGTCTCGAGCGAGTGGATACCGGTACCAGATGCTACAGAACACGAAATCGACGTGTCAGTTCCGAGATCTTAATTGGAACAACGTTTTCGAAGATTCGACTAGACGTGACGATTTTTATTCTTCCGATAATCCGAGCCAATTTATCTCTGTTATTTTATTTTTCGTCGCTATTTTAGCCTCTTGTCTTTAGATGTAATTAGGAAAGGAAATTTATGGAACTGAGATATATTAGATATTTTCCAATCGCGCTTTTATAATTGGAAATTAAATTAAATTACGAGTGGAAATGAATCTCGAAACATAAATTGAATCTCTAGCCGTTCGCGTCATAAATACTTCTAAAGTGGTATTTTTGTAAGTTCGATTGCAGTGTCTGAAATTATTTTTCGCGAATGCATCGCTGCGATCGCATAATCGATCATCGGACGGCTCCGTGTTGATGGTCTCGCAACGAACACGACGTTCCTTTGCGAACGAGTCTTGGCTTGGTTCTACCACGAAGAAATCGAATTATGTAATTAGATTTCGGAGCTGTTGATTAGAATCTTTGTTCGACGCGAATGAGTTCAGCTTTATTACAATATCGCCGAAGGCTTCCCGCGGATCGTGCACGTGAATTTCCTGTTTTTTAATCAAGAGTGCACGAAAATAGCACCGGGGAAGACTTAATCAGCCTGTCTAACGTGAGTGGATGAAAGGAGGTTCTATCTGATTTGAATAGAACGACGCTGGAATGGGGCTTCGGTAAGGTCACCGGCAAGACCTTGCCTATACTGAATTACGCGATCGTCAATTTCACGTCACGGATACTCTATAGCGGCCAAATAATATTGACTCATCGAAAAGTAATTCCCTCTTAACACTTTGTTTTATATAACCACGCTATCCACCTTGCACCGACACGTGTAATGCGATTAACACAGCGACCAACGTGCGTACGGTACAGAATTGCAAGGATAGTTTTACAATTCTTGGACGAAAAATTAATATCGATCTATAAATTGTACAGCCTGGCTTAGCGCTCTTCTGTGCAATTTTTATGCTACCCTTAGTTTCTTACGCCTCTTCATGTACTTCAACAAAATATTGCACACGCCTCTTTTTCTCTTGAACGTTCTTCTCACCCACTCATTGGCTAACGAATTAGGTAACGAGCTATTGAATATTTCGCAAAATTTGAAATACCGCTTTCGCTGCTCCCAAAATAGCGTTAAATAAAAGAAGAAAGAGGGAATAGATAGAGTATGAGAGGAAAAGGGAACAAAGAATGTGCGATAAGAGTTTGCGATAGATACGAGTTTGAAAGGAAGATTGGAAAAATATGGCGGAACAGGACCGTCTACCTGGGTGGCTCGCTACATGACAGAAATAATTGAATCAGCATATATCTAGCCGGGTACACGTTCTTCGCGTTCCTGTTATCTCGGCGAAGCGCATCTTACAAAGTGGTCTCACTTTATCATCGACTCTCACTCGCGTGTTTTGCATCGGTTATTTATGTCTGGCGAGAGGAGCCATCGTCGAGGTCGCTTTCGCGCGTCGAATTTTCAATTAGATTTGCATAATGACCGTTTAAAGGATACTCCAGCCGAGGCTTGTCGGGTGAAAATGGAATTTACACGAGAAGTAGCGCGATCTCGAGACACTCTTGCGAACCTAATGTTCTCCTCGCGCTAGCGCGAGTATGTTCTTCGACCAAAACGTTCCATCGAGAGGAAACTGGAAAAAAGAAGAGGAAGGGAAACGAATATTTACAGGGTGAAATTAAAATCGTCGAACGAGCCCAACTTCCTTATTTCTGGGGCCAAGAATCCTCGTTGTCAATCGCCATTCTAGAAAATGCAAATGCACAGCCAGTTATAAAATCCCGTGATACGATGGGCTGGATCACGCTATGGAATTTGTTCAAGCGGAAAGTGCTTTAACCAGGAAACAAACGCCGGGTTTAATAGACACCCATGAAAGCGTAATAGCGATTACCGAACGAGTTGGAAACCAATCAACGTCAATTTCACCCCCTTACGCGAGCGAACGAATGTTACAGAGAGGGCCATTGTGTGTCGGTCGTAATAACGCGATTTATAACGGAACGACGACGGAAAGTCGCGGGATTAAATACCGCGGTGATAGCCTCGAGTTTTCCCAGTAATATATCGTCCTATTTCCCCTGGATCGCGTTCTTCGCCATCTATGGATAGACACGCTCTAGCCGGAGACCGTGCAAATGGGATTGTTGCGTTCTGCAGTTGCAGCAGTAGTAAATCCTTCGGGGTTCCGGATAAAGGGGCGTTCTCCATACGATCATCATCATGCTACGCTAGTCAATGGCTGGTTATTTACGGGTCATGGAGTAATACGTAATACCGAAGAGGCTCAGGTAGGAAGGTCACCGTTTCCATGCACCCTTCAGCCACGCCGGAACAATTAAACGTCGGACATCGCGGGAGTCGCGTTTTCGGCTCGAGCCGACACCACGATGGACGGCTTGGGTTCCTCGGCGTCCTTCGGGCCACTCGTCTTCGGTAACTTTAATTAAAATCCTGTAATTTCGCCTCCCTCGATCCTTCATACCGCGCCCTGGCGATTAACCAGCCCGCGCCGTTTTATCGACGTCGGATCGAGGAAATTGCCGGTATAAATTTCTCCACACGGGTGTACACGGAGAATGTTAAGTCGGTATTAAAATATGTGGACAATATAGACGCCGTGAGTACTTTCGACGCAATTTATTCCGCCCGTCTTGCTCGTAGCGTAATTACAGATTGCGATTGATCTTAACGATCCGGACGCGTTTATACCGTCTGTTTAGGGTAATCGCTGACGAAATTGACGAATGTTGTGCTCATTACGTCATTGATACCACTATCCGGCGGTAATATATGGCTGAAGTGCACTGGCAGGCGGTCGGATGGAAACGAGGCGTTATATACGGGCAATTTGCATAATGGGATTTTAATCTGTAGACACACCGGGACCGGTGACACCTTATTGATGCAGAAAAACGCGCAAGGTATTAATCAGCTGCCAAACGGGGAACATAAATCCTCATCCGGTCCGCCAGCAACCGCCAGGCTATCGCGGCCGTAGATGCATATCTGGCTATCTCGCTAAGAAACTAATACCTCTAAAATGCCTCTAATACGACGGACTTGATTCAAGAATTCTCGCCCGTATGACGTAAGATTTTCCGTACGATCGATCAATTTCCGATGACACTCGACTGCTCCGCAGTCGCGATCAATCTTCCCGCCCCGACTCCCCTCTCGCTACCACCTCCAAGCCATTCCGAATATCCCGAATCTCCGAAAATATCCGGCGTTTATCGCGGCTGAACGACCCTCGACATCGTTTCCACGTCTAGCACGCGGAGAAAGCAAGAGGAGAGAAAGCAAGAGCGAAGCTGGCAAGCGAGCAGGAGCGCGTGACGCAGCTGCGACACGAAGCTGTCGCGATTGAAAGCGTCGAAGGCGGGCTACCGCTTCGGCGTGGAACCACGATACAGCCCCCGTTGACCGACATCGTCGGAGCACGTGTCGAGCGCGTCGAGAAGCGGTCGAGGAGGCTAGCAGGTTGCCGATTGTACCAGGTTCGAAACTGGGGAAAGAAAACGGGCCGGGAGGGGACGAGATAGGCTAGAAATCGGCGTAGTTGAAGGAGGCGCGAGAATTTGGTAGAAAATCGAGAGGATTTTCAGGTGTTTCGGGACGGGAAGGTGCGAGGAGAAACGTCGTGGTTCGTGCAGGGCGCCTAGGCGTCGCGCCGGCAGGCTCCGAGCCAATGCGCTGTGAAAATGCCCGGGTGGGAAAGGGTGGATCGGGGGTGGCGCGCAAGCGTCGTCGTGGTATCGACGCCTCGGCTCCCGGGCCGAGGGAAAGAAGCGGACTCAGGCGGTAGTAGTAAAGCCCAGCTCGGGTCGGCCGAGCGCAAATGTGCGCTCTACGTGCTGACAGCCGCGTCTCGTTCGAGCTGGTCTCGCCTGAGATCTCGTTCGCAGATCACGAGAGCGCGTCTGAACGTCTGACCGTCGCTGGAACCAGAGCCGAAAGATGTGCCTGGCCTGACGGACGTCCCGAGTCGAAATCCTAGAGGAGAGGACGTCTCTGCCACAGTGAACATCCCTCGTTTCAGTGTGTGTTCGTCGCTCCGTTTTCCTCTCGCTCGCTCGGCTGTCTCTCTCGCTCCGTGTCTCTGCCAGTAGTCTGTCTCTCCGTTACTCGCTGCTTCTGTCCCAGTCACACACACGCATACACACACACGCCAACCGTCTCTCCCTCTTTCTCTCTCGACGTCGTCGTCCCTCTGTCGGCCCATCGAGATCGAGGGGTAAAAGTGGCGCGAGCACGGGCAGACCCAGCCGGAGACTGGCGGCGTCCGAGGCACTGGCGGAGCTGTGGTACACGAGATCAGGATGAAATCGAGGAGGTACGTGGTCCGACGGTCTGTTCTGCCGATTAAACGCACACGCATCCAGCAAAGATGGCAGTGGCTGCTAGGTCGCGCGTCACGCTCTACCCGCTCATCTCGCGACGATTAGGGATGCTGCGTGGACCGGAAATTACGTTTTCGCTCTCCCTCTCTCTTTCTCTCTCGCTCTTTATATATATACGTATATACCCCTCTTCATTCACGTGCTCCCGCTTCTTCGGCCCGATTGTTCACCCTGTGCGCACTAGGAGGCAGCTCGTGGAGCCGCGCGACACAGCCAAGGTAGCATCCACGGTGTTCGTCTATCGACAGAAGCTGTGCCTGGTCCGAGCTGTCGTCGCGCGAGATTCGCCGACGAAAAGCTCCAGGCTATACTCGCTGACTTCGAACGGCGGGAACTCGGTGGAGAAGGTTAAGTCTCATTTGCATTTAAGACCGCCTCACCCCGAGGCTGCCTCCGGTTCCGTTCCATTATTCCATTTCGATAGAAAGAGAGAACCGATCGAATAACGAAATCATTCTTTCATCTGTAATCAAACCGTGAATGGATATCTTGGAGAGGGAGATTCCACGGGCACAATGCGTGCTCTCCTTTGACGATCCTTCTCGTTGTTGCTCTTTCATCCCCGTTTCTCGCAACCTTTCTCCTCCTTTCGCTCTCTCCCTCTTTCTCTCTCTCTCTCTCTCTCTCTCTCCGTCTTGCTCTTTCACTGTCTCGCGCTCGCCCCAACCCCGCGTCGCTTCCCTATTTTATTCTTTTTCTATCTCTCTTAGCCCCCGCTTCCTCTACTTCCTCTAACTGAACCCTTTCACATCCCCCTTTCACGGTGTGGCCCACGTTCGGCTTTCTTTGACATACACCCGCACACAGCCTACCGTGGCCGCGCACGTACACGTACACACTCAGCCGGTCGCGCGCGCACGCACACGGCTTCGTTCGAAAATTGATGTCACGAGGCGAGGAGAGAACGGAAAATACATAGATACGACGTACACCGACGCCGGATGTACATTGACTCGGGCCTATCTGTGTGCTCCCGTCGACTTATCACGACATGCGCATCATTGGGCAAATATTCGGTTAACTAAACAAGGCAGGCCATCCCCGTCGCTATATACGTATCCGTGTACCGTGTGCCGTGGTTATATCGCGGTTACACGACGGTGGCCCAGCGTCGCGACGCGACGCGACGCGACCGAACGTTTCTCGAGCGAACGTGCATCGAGCTCGTACCCGCTCCGACGATAATTCGAGAGCGTCACCGGAAATAACCCACCGACCCGTTTCTTCCTCCTTCTTCCTCCTCCTTCCACCTTTTACACCCGTTTACCTCGCACTCGTACCCTCGTTGCTCGTTTTCTCGATCACAGCCGAGTCCCGTGCGACGTCCACCGAGCTAACGATAACCGATCGGCTCCCAGCTCGAGGACGTCGAACGAACGCGAACGAGCGTTCAATTGGAAATTAAATAATCGGCCAACGGGGCAAGAAGCGTCGCGATGACCGTCGCAAGGGGTTGAAACGAGCCTCGAGTCGCCGCAGAAATTGCTCCATCTTCGTTTCGCAGGCTAGCCGTGGATAGGCGACGCCTCGATGTAAATCTCGCGAGGAACTCTCGAGACAATTTGTTTTCCCCTGGTTCTATCATTCTCCCGTTTTCTCTACCCCTTTCCATCGACCACGCGTTCGGGGTTGAAATGGAAACGACGAAATTGCCAGCACGCGACCAAGCAGCGATCCAATCGTCGAACGAGCACTTTTAATTCGCTCTGCACCGCCTCGTCCCTCGTTTCGACTACCCCTTGGTCTCTCTCGCTTTTCCTCTTTCCACCCTCTTTCGTTTCGTTTCGTTTCGCGCACCCCGTGGCACATAGAGAGAAATTCGACCGGTATTTCGTCGCTAGGCCCAGACACTCGGCTTATGCCAGCCGGTGAAACGCGTCCACGGGGATAAAGAATATCGACGAAGCGGACCAACCCCCTGGGTACGGAACTTTTCTCATTAATTGAAGCACTGTGTAAAAGTCAGCCGTCGGAGGGCGTAATAACTTTTGGTATATGGGGCAAAATTCAGAAAGCGAGACGCTAGCCGAGCCGTAATGTGATTTAAAGGTTTAATAAAGTCAGCCACGTGGATTAATTCGCTTTCGGGCGGCGGCGCGTGCACGGCGATGATTTGTGCGGCTTGATCAAAATCGTCGACGGAATTGATCGCGTTCCATTTCCTGCGAATTGTCGGTTGTCGTAAGGTCGTCGAATATTCCCAGCCGAAGGTTCCGAATGGGTTCGGGCGCTGGGTAAAATTGCGCAGGGAGACGAAATGTCGATGGAAAATCGCAGGGGGTGATCGTCGTTCTATTTTTCTTCCCTTTTTTATGCTCCCAAGTTCCCGGAGAAATAGAAAGTTTTCGACGTACGTTGGAGCGTATCGAGCGCGTTTCCTCGTAAATGATACCACTTTCCATTTGGTCGATATTCTTGCCCCCATAAATGAAAATTAACCCCGACGACGTGTATAATTTTCTCGGCTTGTTATCTGGCCGATCGGTTTAATAAAATCGCCGCTCGCGAATTACGACGCGATTAGGGAAAATTGCAATCGGGTGCTGCGTGTGGGGCGCGGATAATGAAATCGCGTGGAACGCGGCGCGCGCGTTATTTTATTGCATAATAATCAATGCAAATATCCAGCGCGATCGACTTAAGTATAGCGATATTAAAATAAACGTTGCCGGGGTGAGAGTGGGTTTCGGGTCTGCCGAAAGTCGTTTCGACGGGAAACGTGGAAATTTTTTAATTTCGGGGATCGAATTTCTCCGTATCGTTTCACGATACGATCCATTCCAAAATGGCGAACTGGTTATACCCCGTTCGTTTAATTCTCGCTACGGATTTAACGCAACAACGGTTCCAGTTTAATTTCCTGTTGGTATATTTTTCGATTCCACCAGCGGCGAGATAAATCCAGTTAAATAATTCTATCGTACACCTTTATTAATAACAGTGTAGAATGTCTCGCAGAGGATTGGCAACTTTCTACTTAACAAGTTGCCCGCTGACTTTCGCTTGTCTTTGCTTCTGTGCCATTTACATTGAGATTCTCGTTAGTCTTGAAAATCTAAAGCAGCTAAGGTAAAGAATTCTTTGTACCTGCTCCTTCTAGTTTACTTTCGTGTGCCGTGTTCTATCGTAAAACTGAGATAAACAGTGCCTTTGGAGGGTAACGTTGGCAACTCGGACGTAAATGCTTTGTAACGATGGGAAGAAAGGAGGAAATAATCAAAGAAAATCGTGCACGCGTGAAAATCCTGGTCGAGGGATTTTTCAGTGTTGTTTCAACGATGTTTAATCATTCCTGCACAGTCATTCGCGCGGCGAATAACGGAAACCGTGGCGCGATACGACAGGGTGGAATTTTCATAACGAGTTTGTAACGACGAAATAATTGTTTCCCTTCTTTTTTCTGTTTTCTTTTTCTCTTCCTTTCATTTCTTCTTCGCGCAGGACTTCGTTTTCCACGCGATTTACTCTGAAATGAACGACGAGTGCGCGTGCACTCGGCCAAGGCACGATTTAAAGAAACTCGCGACAGACCAGGGTCTCTCTCGTTCGTTCGGTGAAAAAAATGTTTGTTGAAAAAAATGTCGCGTCTATTTTTACGTATCAAACGACATTTATAGAATTGAAGACGCGCCGCGGAATCCCGTTGACGTTGGTCCGAGTTTGCGACTCTTCAAACCTTCCCAACCATTTTCTCCCTTAATTGGGTACGCTTTCTTTACCATTCTCAGTTAAAAGAATACTATTCTCGTAACAAGCGTTCTTCTCTGCGAGTTTTCAAATTTAAATCCCTCGAAAAATCCCACCCGCCGCGGAGGAACGTTTCCCTCGGCCACATTAGAATTTCTATTTTATCCGATACACATATGCTGTATATACGGCGAGTCACAAAAGCATTCGTACCTCTCCAATTTTCGACTTCAAACGACTGTTATTCCATACGAATTTCCAAGTCAAAAAAGCCAGGCAATGGAAGTATATCGGATCAGCCAAACTTTCAGTCGCGAAATCGGAATTTAGCGCGACACGAGCGCAAAGTAATCCCCCACGAAATTAGTCGACGAAAAATATTCCCGTCCTATAAATTCGAAATATCAAGTGACTTGGTCTTTATATTTAAAAAAAGGTGACGGTCGTTCAAAGTAAAAAATACCCACACGCGTATCTCACCCTCTATTACTGAAAATACAATCTCCGGCTACCACTTTAGCTAAAATAACGCTGAACCCTGTTTAAAATTCTCAACTCTCCTACCATTAGTCGCTACAAACGCGAAGGGTTATAATTAATTAATCTTTATCCACGTTCACGATTACCGCTGCGATAAAGAGGGAGAACATGGCATGTGCACTCGTCACGTGTCTTCGAAGACCTCTGACGATAAGACACTTACAAGGCGACGTAGGAAGAGGCAAGAGAGAGTACACATGTGCTCTAACTTAATTTTCAAATCCAAACGCGACAAGGTCGGGGCTTCATTAAGCCCCGCATTTTTATGTAACAGACTTGACCGTCACTCAATGTCGCGTGTCGATGCATACTCAGATCTGCTTAACACGAGCCCCTATCGGAGATACTCGCATGATTCCGTCACGATTTAAACAATCATTCGCGTTGTTCACCGTGGTTGACCATGTTCCATCGATCACGTACTCTAGATACGCAGGCCGCGAAAAATCGTGAGAATTTTTCACGTTCATGGTTGACTCTGCGTCTCCCTCCTCCAGCTGATAGCTAATCTGATAGAAAGCGCGATAACCGCGGAAACATCCTGCAAGTGGATGATCCATTATACCGCTTCCATTCAAGACACCGACTGTTTACGTGGCTCCTTTTTATTGTTGCATATCCAATCGTGTCTGCAGAGTTGAACATACTCTACTTTTATTGACGTTCACTCTCGAAACGTTTCACCCCGTAATTGGACAGATCCTCGTTACTACTTGGAGTGAAAGATATTTCACATCTTGCTGCACGAGCTATATTTAAAAGCGCTCTCACGTTTGCCAAGTTAATCCTCTATAGAATTAGCAACAGCATACACTCGTGTCGATATTTTCCCCATTTTATTTTATTCACTTGCCACCGCGTCACTGTGCTTCGTCGCTATCATTGCAGTGGTTGTTGTTAACCCTTTGCACTTCATTGACGTCATTAAGGAGACGTTGATGAGTCTGCATGATTTTTTGCTTTTATTTTCGTGTAAGAAATTGGACAGGCGAATGGAGCTACTTGTGTAAATAATTTCATCGATATTTATAATTCTTTTCTCTTTGTGAAGCAAAAGTTGATAGTTTCCCAAGATCGAAGAGTGTCGGGGTTTAGGTCTATCGGAGCAAAAATTCTCAGAGTGCTAAGGATGTGTAATATTATTGCTTCCCTGTATTACTTTAAATGTACGAAGTATTATTCTCGATATCCAGTTCTACAAAATGGAGCAAATGAGAATTGTATCTTTTTCTTTGGAACATCTTGTTTGAACCATCTCTCAATCTTTAAGCATCCAAACTTTAATTTTACAAAATTTGTTTAGTTTGAAAATTGAATTATCGGTGAATCAGTCGTTCTCTATGTCCTACGTGAACATTATGGAGCATTGCAAAACTCGAGGAGTTAGTTTTACGTCGATTCGATTGATTTTGCGAGGGTTCATTTCGTCATGAACGTTACTCGAGCAGCTGATTGTCCTGTCAAGAGCGCGTTTTCGCGATCGGGTACCATCTTGTCTGTATATATGTACCCACGGTTTACGAGGTGAGGTTAACGATCGTCGCGTTAGTACCCACGGCGAAAGGTTGCTTTAACGACGTTTATCTTGCGACTGAGAATCGCGGATACGGTGATTCTCTATGGTGTGCGCGAGAATGCGGTTTTAATTGAGACGGGAGTGTGCTCGTTACGCCTGGTACACCTTGAGAATCCAGCGAAGCTTGCGGTATCGAGAGTCATTTAATGACGTTTATCTTGAGGTCGGCGATTGTGGGCATGAACGGATGATCCCACGTAATATTTGCCTTCGTACGCTGTTTGAATCCGAGATTAGGACGTGTCAGTCGTATTTGTCTGATTTATTGCAAAGAATATTCAGTCACACGGTTTTCAGAGGGAAAATATCTTCGGTCAGGAAGAATTAATACTTTGCATAGATGGTATTTCGAATTTTCCACTATTTTTCTCAAATGATACGACAGGAAATATACATATTCCAATACTTCGTAATAAAAATTTAATAAGGTATGTTTGTTTTTGTACTTGCGATGGCTAGCGAAAATGTTCTATTCAAAAATTATGCTCTCAATTGTTAACGTTAGACAGTGTAAATTTTTGTAGGCAGAAAATTACTCCGAGGGGGTAAAAGCAAGGATTAAAAATTCAACGTTGTTTTTATTTCTTAAACGGGATCTCACTGAAAGAAATTTTTACTATAGGCTGACAGAGTACTAAAAATTAAACATTTGTTATTTGTAAAACTCTATCCCCTGTCGTAACGATTATAGTTGCATTTAAAAAAATAGAGATCGGACTGTTACTCTGAGCAATGATTTCACTCGCGTGAAAGAAAAAGATCCACGTGTAACTCGTTGTACTTCACGTGTACACGTGCTTCCGTTAAAATCAGAATTTTCCAGTTAGAGTACCTCCTTGAAATATGCACAAGCTTCGATTACTTTCTCATATCGTATCTATTTTCGTGAATTTTTAATCGACTTCCGGAACTGTAAACAGAGCTGGAAAGGCACTCAGAAAGTTGCAGGAATAACAGTAAACCATGACACACGTCGGCATACATTCCTAAACTTGCCGAAACAACGATCAAACGTACACAGGTCCGCCGAAAACGCTGCTCGAAACGATCTACCTGCTCATACAATACTAAAACAATGCCGACAGAGAAATTCGGCGAAATTAAAACCCGTACACCGTCCGAGCAAACACTCGGGCAAGAACGCGAAACACTCGAGTCCGCATCTACTTACGATCAATTATTTCGCCAGCTGCACTCGAAGCCTATGTTTCGCGGTTAGCAAAGCAAGTGTCCCGATTAAAATATAGAAGTTCCGCTTTAATTCGGCGATGGTGGCCAGCCTACGCGACGCTTCGTAATACAGCCCTCCATTCAGGATCGACTCGGCTGAATTATGAATGACGGTCGATAGCTAGAGGACGCGTGTACTGGCCATGCTAGTTTCACCTGGCCTACGTGGCCCTCGCGAGAATGTGTATGAAAAAAGAACGACTATCGACGGGGTTGCACCGCTTTCCACCCTTCCCGTTATCCCAACAATCTACCCTCCGGGATTCAATCCGGCCCCCGAAGCACGCCGACCTCTCGCTGCAGAATCCAAATGCACGTAGAAGGCGATCGCGAGCGGGATTCCCTGGTATAAACACGGTGTCGAGCGAGACGTCGTGCGTCAGCTGACGAGGGACCTGGAAAGTGGTCCGAGCGTTGAAAAGGCTCTTCGCTGATTGCAGTTATGCCCGGCTTCGCATTTCCCAATGGCGAAAGGTGTCTCGAAAGGCTTGCTCCTCCAGCAGCTCGTACACGCGTCAGGATATGAAGGGGTGGTAGGTATGCGACGTAGAATCCGATTCATTGCCGGGTTATCGGAATATGGATGAGGTTTCATCGCAGACTCCGAGGAATTTTTATCCTCGTTGATTAAACTCGCCTGGCAATTCTTTACCGATTATTAGTGTCATCATTCCGCTACTTAACCCTGTATCCGATTCCACGTAGCGTCGTAGTGCTCTGTTTCGCTTCTTAACGTCTCCTTCTCACACGAGAATCCGACTTTGCACCTAATCGCTGTCACGTCACGCGACTTGCCCGAGAAAACACGGGCCTTGTAATCGTGTCAGGTTCATCCAGGTCTCCGAATCTCACGGTACTCGATTGTCCACCTCGTCGTTCATCCCTTCCGTTCGTTCGCATCGGTCACTTCACCGACATCGTGTCATCGTGATCGTGCAAGCACCTCGCGATACCTGCGAACATTAAAGCGAAACGTCAGCGATTTCTACTCTCTGCTTGCAGCAACATAGCTGTATCGATCCTCCATCAAGATCGCCAAAGTTACGAGGTCGTTAGAGAAGGTACGTTCGCGTAAAGATCTCGGGCAAAGTTTGTCGTTGCTGGTGGAGGATTGACAGCCTCCGGCAGGGCAGGTCTCTGGGAGAAGACAGGAGATTCCGGAAGCGGAGACGGACCAGGTGCGAGCTACCAGGAGGGCCTAGCACCTGGCTGTTTAGCGGCTGTTGGCAAAGGGGGGGTGACGGGTAACAGCACCTAAGGGCGGGTGGGGGGATGCAGCTCGAAAGGGTGGCGGCATGGAGCAGCCCTCGCTGGAGGCTGTCATGCAGGCGAGCCTCATCTTCGTGGTCGGTGTCGCCATCATCTGCTCGAATCTCCTCATCATCATCACCTACCTTAATTTCCGTGGTGAGTACCTTCACGTGTCATTTTCGTTTAAATAAATTAGTTGAGACAGTGATTGATTTCGCGGTTAAGATAGGAGACTCTGCTAAGATACAGAATGTATGTCTGGTACGATTCCTTTTTTCGCGAACAGCTTCCCGTATCTTTAATTAGAAATGTACAATGCGATCGATGCAATGGAATATTGAAAAAATTGCGACATTAATACACTTCACTCTTAGACTCGTTAATTCGCTGGTACAGTGAGTGTAAACAGTATTCGTACAACTCAGTTTCTTAACTAAAATTTGTAGATATTCCTGCTAATCGCTGCACAGAGAAATATATTATGAAAAAGATGACGAATTTTCGTGAAGCAATAAGCATTCGTACACTCTATAAATTCTAAATGAAAAGCTATTTAGGATCGCAATTTTTTGCGATCGGTACCTCTTTAGATGAGTAATCTACTTTAAATATTTCGGCATGTTAAAAATTGTTATTACGATATCTTTTCCTTCGTTCTTTTTCAATACATCCATTCTAGAGATTTGGCAGAACGCGTAGAAATTTCTTACTTGTGGAAAGGCAATTAAAAGACTATAATTATTGTACGAATACCTTTGACACTCACTGTACACCGGATTAAAATTTTACACTAGTTAGATAATCCAACTAAAATAGTCCATTTAAATAATATATTCATTAGCTGAGTAGAATATTTTTCTAAATTCGATCGAAATAGGTCTATTTTATGGTCTCGCGACACTATCCTACCGTCAGTTATCGCAATAACTTCTAGTTTCTTTGTCCCCTTTAAGTTCCTGTCCCGATGACCCTATCACCGCAGAACAGAGAAAAAGCAACAGTCGAAAACTGTAACATTCGGTGAAACGCGAGCGTTTCGAGCTTTCACACTCGAGGTAAATACAAATGAGCATCACACCGCATAGGTCCCTCCGAGGTGATAAAGTACTACTTGCTGTCTCTCGCGTCGGCGGACCTTCTTTGTGGTATGCTGGTGGTTCCGCTCTCGGTGTATCCGGCGCTGGTGCGAAGATGGGTCTATGGGGACGTCGTGTGTCGTTTCGTCGGCTATTTGGAGGTTACTCTCTGGGCGGTATCTGCCTACACCTTCATGTGGATCTCCGTGGATCGGTATTTGGCCATCAGGTACGTTCCAACATACCTAATTAAAATCTCCCCTCTCCTCTACTGTACACGTACCCTACAACCTTGAAGACCCTTGTCTTTAAACCTTCTTGTACCCTCCTTCGATATTCGAGTTACCAAACATGACCTACCAAACACTCTTTACATCTCTATATGTATTCTAATTTACCTCTACGGTAATACAGTATCTCTCACTAGCCTAACTACCTCGTAGTCCAATGACGTAGGTCTAAGTCAAGATTGGGTTTACCGAAATCTAGACAACCTTCGTCAAACTATCTAACTCGTTCCATCCATATCTCCTTCGATCAACGACTCGCATCTGCTTACCGCCAACACAGCTACCCGAGCAATCTACGTCGCTCGTTAGACTCTATATCCTCGACTCCTGCACTGTTATAAGCCGAACCGTAACCTTCGACTTTCCAATCCAACCAACACGCAGCTCATCCTGTCGAAACCAAAAGTTTAACTATGAACAGTTCGCGTATGAGTTGACTAACGAAACGATTCCTTTGCACAGGAAACCACTGCGATACGAGACCGTGCAGACGAAGACCCGATGCCAGTGCTGGATGGTCTTCACGTGGATCAGCCTGGCGATGATATGTTGCCCGCCCCTGCTAGGTTTCCAGAAGCCGATTTTCGACCGGGAGGCGTTCATCTGCATGCTCGACTGGGGCAACATGGCCGCCTATAGCATCACTCTGTCGATCCTCGTGCTAGGCCCATCGGTCATCACCATCGTCTACACCTACTGCTACATCTTCATGATGATGAGGAAGCTAAAGTCCGGCGTACTGATCCACGACAAGGAGTACGCGACTGCGCTCTCGGAAAACCTGAGCAATCCGAGTCACATTATATCCTTTGTCCTGGTGATGGCTTTCTGGCTATCCTGGGCACCGTTTGCCGTTCTCCGGATATACGCTGTCGTTAACGGACCGCCGCAGGTAATTCAAATGTTGCTCTTTGTGTATGAACCCAGGCTAATATTGGGGAAAGGTCAGTCTCTATATGTTCTGTTGTTCTTTCCGAAAGCTATAGCTTAGAGAGTTATAGAGTCTCATTTTCAAACAGTTGTATACTTCGTTCTCTAGCGTGGTTCCAAGTCCTTTCCTGAAAGTGTAGAACACCCGTTTTATCTATCACCTTTTTTAAATATGCATAATTCTTCGCTGGGTTTTTCCCGTAACATTGGCTTACTTTCACAGACTCTAGATCGTATCGATTCGTTGGTTGCTCGAAACTCCACTTAAACGGAATCAAAACTCGAGCTAAGAAATTTGGATAGAAATGTAAACTCTCAATGTCGTATGCGTACGAATTCCATCCAGCAGGCTGCCTTTTAACCTACTTTTATACTTTCTCCACCACTCTAAAGTACTTTAAGAGCTAACTTTTTTAAAAAGAGCCATTATTCACCACCGTCTTTCACCACTAGCAAAGGAAATTCGAGCGAGAATTTGATTCCGAACAAGGAAAAAATCAGACATCTCAAAATGTTTCTAGCATTCTCTAATTTTAGTTGCATTATACCGTTGTATTACCTTTCCTAAAAAGATCCGTCATTTACCGCTATCTTCCAAGTGAGCAGGTATTCGATGTTTGCAGCCAGAAGATCCAAGGTCCCTCGTGATAATTCGTTAATTCGTACATCTGTTGGTCACTTTGCAGGTACCGTTTCTCCACTTTGCGGTTGTGTGGCTGGGGGTGATGAACAGTTTTTGGAAAGCGGTGGTCCTCGGAACCATGAGCCCGCAGTTTCGGCTGGCAGTCCGCGTGCTCTGTCTGACACTCTGCTGCCGGCACAGACGACTTCCGCCGGAGCTGCTCGGCCTCGACGACGACGATTAAACGCCAAACGCCTACGAGAACAAGAGGGGAAACGCTTTCCTTTTCTGCGCGCGAGCGTTCTACAACACGCGCCCCATTCCTAGAGCATCGCTTTTCATCTCTCGGTATTCGAGGTCGTTTCTTGCATCCACCACCGTTCACTCGGAGCCTTCTTCGAGGGCTGAGACTGAGATTCTTTGTTCCGTAAGGTGCTACCACGACGTCCGACGACAAACGATCAATCTGCTCGCACTTGCAGAACGGGCAGTACAATTTCAGGCAGCTATTAAGGAGAATGATCTTCGTCAACCGACAATTTTCGACGATCCAGCAGCGTCGAACGATCTAGCTCCGAGGAAGATCCTCTTCTTCCTACAATCGGCACTCGAGAAACTGATCCTTAAATGTCTGATCGAAAGCTTATCTCCGCGCTATTTTCTTTCGAATCCCTAGTCACGAAACGAGACGAGCAATTGAAATTTCTGTCAAATTCGAATTTTCGCGCGTAAAACGTGGATCTAACGAATCCCGAAAGTCGGCCGGAAAAATTAGGAAAAGAATTAGAAGGAAATGCAGGAACGGCGTGTGAGAGTGCAAGGCTGTCCCCTTTTCTATACGACTGCGATTTAAATACAATCGATCATGCATATACACGCGACTGCTATTAAAAGAACGGCGTTATCGACGAAAGGAACGTGGTGAACGGCCGAAAGAAAGAATCGAAGCTCAGCCTGGGGCGCGTTCGTGGAGCGATGAAGATTGTCGAAGGAGGCTGCAGCGATCATCGTCGACGGATCGTCGATCGAGGAACAGCTTCCTGTTCGTTGATGATAATTCCCTGTGCGAGGATCATTCTGTTTATCTCCTCTTTTGCTTTCCTCCTGCTCGCGGAACGCTCCCGACAGTCGCGGAAACGCGGAGAGCTCGCGCGTTCCTCTCCTCTCCGCCGTTTCGTGGCAGCGTTCCCGACGAAAACTAATCGTTGCCTATATCTACGTGGTAAGATCACGCTCAAACAATTATCTTAGCGAGTCGCGGTAAGATAACGTGTAAAACGTGTATAACCGGACGACGAACGGTTCGCTTGCGATTACGATGAGATCTGATCGGACGTGGGGAAGATTACGCAGGCGAACACGACGTACATGAGAACACTAGGTCAATTAACGGAGATGCCTCTACGAATGCGACGCCGCGTCGATCTGCGCGCCCGTAGAACGCCCATGTGAAACGAAGCTCGCGGACGGGCTTCCGGTCGCGAAGGTACACGCTTTTCTAACGCGCTTCCGCCTCTTCTCGACCGCGCGATCGGGCTCCCTTCCGCTCTCTCTTTCTCGTTTTTTTCTGTATCCATCTCGTGTCGCAAATTTCCCATTTTTTAAAAATAATTTTTCGTTCATTTTCTGTTATTCTTCTTTTATAGTTTATTTTTTTTATATATAATGTATAGTATCGTAGAAAGGGTTATGTATAAGTTAGCAAATATGACAGTTTTATTTTGACAATTTTAACACGTTGACTGCAATCACTGTCATGGTCACCAGTGCTCAGTACCTGTCTCCACAGTGGACCAGTGATACTAATTTTTTAAATTTATATTTGGTTTATTTTATTCGTTTTTTGAAAATTCGAACAACGCTGATAAACAGGGAATTTTGAATAGAGAACGGTGATAATTTGTCGCTATTTTATCGTGGTGCATGTACAAAATGCGTGACAGTCAACGTGTCAAGTTACGTCATTTTTCCACTAGATTATTCGTTTCACGCGTTTATATTTTCCGTCTCACGTGTCCCGTGTGTGTTTTACGCGTAAGTTGCCACATGTGCCTGCTAGTGTCATTATTTACGTTTGCCGAAAGGACTTATCTTTGTCGAGGCTTCTGAACAACCTCGCGTTGTCGCTTAATTTCTGTAGAACGCACTTGTCAATTGTATTATGGATACGCGTGTACATATAGTTGTCAGATTATTTTCCACTTGCTTCTCTGTGTAATTTCAAACGAGTCTGCGTGCAATCAGAGACGTGTCCTACAGAGAAAAAGGAGGTGGAGAAAATAAATTACGGAAAGCTTCAATCTCGACGCGTTTCACAGTCAAATTCTACGTCTGCTTCTGAGAGATTCTGTCTGGAGATAGAAAAAGTCGGTTGCCGAGCGCGAAACTTAATCACGAGCGTGTTTCGATCGGGCTGGATCGAATGGCAATTAAAATGGTAATGGAACTTTCACCGGGTGACGAGTTACGGAATTCTGACTGCGGCGGAAGCGATAAAAGCGCGGGCTAATCGAAAGGAGGCAGAGGGAACTGCGAAAGAGCCGTGGGCACCGGTGAAAGAAGTAACTTCGTTATAGAGTTGTCGGATCGCGTTAGAAGTTGGACCTACTGTTATTCCATAAATTCCCGCTGGAACCGACGCGGCCCGAACCTAATTTCGAGCTCGCCCCGGTTTCTTGTTCGAACGGAAGTCGACCGGCAAGAAACGCGACGCGATCCACGAGCCAGCGAAAAACTTGGCGGAAATGGTCTCCCGTGGGTGAAGAGAAAGCATACGGCTATTAATAAAACCCGCGGCTCATTTATAAACCGGGCCGTTTCTATGGCGAATAAATTCCGCGGTTACGAGTGTTGCGCGCAGCTTTTATGTAACGGAACTCGAGGCGCGACGACGTTTCCGTCACGGCGATATTTATGCGCGTGATACGTAATCGTCGATGGTGAGACGCTCGTAATTAGCCGTTCTGTTCCGAGGCAGACGTTGCGCTTGTTCTACGTCGGTTTAGCTAAATTATGAAAGTAGCTTCGCGAGTCAACTGTGATTTATAATGAAACTGGCAAGGGGAGAATTTTTTAATTTTTTTTAGGGAAACTATGTCGCTTGAATTTCCTTTTCTCTTTGGGCTCTCTGTTGTAGGAAGAAACGTTTCCTGGGAAATTTGTTTGGCACGAAGAGAAGCGTACGATGTAGTAATTATTTTATTAGCTATAGAGGGTATAGCAGGTATAGAATATTCTCGGAAGCAGCCGTAGTATCGGCTGAAATATAGGTTTTTGTTACACGATTGCACGACGGACAAGGGTGCATTTGGTACAAACGATATAAATCTTATCATACACGAAAAAGAAACGAAGTGATCCTAAATGACGTTTAATAATTTCTATTAAACACGACGTTCATTTTTATTCGATCCTTCGAGACTAGCGCCCGTTAATGAACTATGTTAAATAATTATAACGATACGGATAACGTTAGATTTTAAGAATAATTGTAACATTATATTTTTTGAAGTACTCGAAAGGGATATGCAAGAAATAAGTTACAGATTATACGAAGATTAAAGTTGCTAGATTAAAATTGACAAGGTGTTATTTAAAAAGAGAAAAAAGGAAAAAGAGAGAGAGAGAGAGGGAGAGGGAGAGGGAGAAGCACAGGAAAATATTGTTCCCGCTACGCTCGAAAAAGCGATGCTCACACGCAAGCAGTTGGGCAAGATCCTGAGATTTCTTGGATGGTGAACATTAACCCTTTAAAGAGAAATTCAATACGCAAATCGGTGTCTAGAAAGTCTCAGCTTCTACTCTATTTTTTACTCTAGACTTCGTGTTTTACTAAACTATAAGGCTCTTCTAATAAATAAATCGTAAGAGGACGCCCCGGTCGGGGCTACGAGTACCATTAGATGCGCGACGGTAATTTATCGTGCCATTTTGATATACCGAGCTATAAATTAAAGGGTTAAGGTGCCCGGAGGTGCTCTGAAAACGCTGATATTAAGATGCGAAACGTCCCAACGTTCCCTCGTTAATTTACCCCAGCGAGTTAAACAATCGCGTGGAACGGGAAAATGGCCGTTCCTCCGCGCTAAATAAATCTAGCAGAACATCACGAAAATGGCGACGCTTAAAATAACGTGGGAACGATTCGACGATGTTCTCTGGTGTTACGATGTCTTAACTATAGAACTGAATCAAAGGAAATTTTTGACTATGTTATAGTTGAAGCGTTAGCTATGTTAAACAGCACCCCGGCTAAAAAGCAGAGAACCAGAGGGAGGCAGAGAAGAAACGACTCGACGAGGATCTCTCCGTTGATCGTCAGCTCGTTCGACGGCTGTTCGACAAATCATTTTAACGATCGTTTCGCGACATGTGTCGCGTTAATTGTTTACCGCTAACGAGCAACGTGTCATGCGAGTTATTTGCCAGTCCGACGAGTCACGGTATCGATACTTGTCGCTTTCCACGTAACACAGAATCGTTCGACCCCCGACACGCACGAGTCCATCCTGTTCCAACATGAAAATCAACGTATCGTTACTCCAACTCGCGACAACGAAAGCTCGAACGATCACCGTTCCCGCAAGCAACGCTTTGACCAGCTCGCGGAATGCAAGCAATAAGCTGAACAATGAAATGCGAATTCAACGTATTTTAATCGATTAGCTTCCTGTCTGTATCGCAGTGTCGAGAGAGGGTGAAATCAACCCTCCAATCCGAACGATTCGAGAGAGTAACACAGGGTACCGTCGCCCGTCGCATTGTTAATAATTCCAATAAAATTGATTTAAAAAAGAAGGAGAAAAAGGAGAGGAGAAAATGTAACAGGGCCCTGCTCACTGATACTTCCTATAATTATCTGTTTTCTTACCTTTCGTTTGGCAATTCGTGGAGATCGTTTTCCTTTCTGTAACGTATACACGTCTGCGAGTTTTTTAGCCGGGGTTGGTCGTGGCGCATAAACGAGTTAAAAAGAAAAATCGAAAAATGGAGAAAAAAAAATATGAGGAGAAATAAAGAAACGCTATGATTTTGCTCCGAACGTCTATTCGTGTGTGTTATGTACATATTAGATCGCGTGTGACGCGGTTCTTTCGTCCAGATCCGTCGTTGCAGGCTTCAAACTTCTACGATGCAACGTCTCGAGTGCACGCCGACACGGGGATGACCGGGTGCAAACCGGAAATTGGCGAGTGTTTCATCGAGCGACCCGTTCCGTTTCCGCTGAATAAATTCAGATAAATTCTCCGACCTCTGACCTGCTTTCAATGAGATCTATAACTAGCCCGATCCTTTTACCCTGGCGGAATCTTCTTGAACATACAACGCTTGCCCCAGTGCTCGTTTCTTCACCAAAAAATACGAATTTGGAATCACTATCCGAATTACGTTCCACGACAACAACTGACTCCTCAGTTTTTCTTTAAATTTTTAAATAATTCGATAATTGCTTAGTAGTTATAACAATAAAAATATTAAATTGTAAAAATAATTCTATTATCGAATAAGCGAATATATGGGAAAGGAGGAATCGGGTAGACGAGACTAAAATAAATTGTTTCAATCGACGCTGTCCGAAATCCGCGATATATCGAACGTGCAACTAGACAATTATTTTGAATAACGATGATTCGAACGCGTCCTTCCCAACCCAGAATTCAATTACACCGTGACGCGGCGCAAAAGGGGTTGGAGGAAACACGGGATGGCGCTCGAAACATTTATCAAAAGGGAAGACTGGTCGAAATACCAAGCTTCCTGGCTTGTCCCATCAAAGCCACCACCATCCACGACGGCGTGCACCCGCGAAACCGCGAAACCGAGCAGTATTAAATTCCTCAGCGATAACGAGATTCTAAATACTTTAAAGTCGCTCAAGGGGAAGGAAGGAGCGGTAAATAAGCGGAGGATGGGAACGAAAAGTCTTGCGAAACTCGTGAAACGGAACGGAGGACACGAGGGAGAAGGGAAATAGGGAAAAAGGAGGTAACCCGTACCTGCGTTAAAAAGGAAAAATAAGAAAAAGAGGATCGAAGCGTCGCTTCTTCACACGTTTTTCCTTTCTTGATC